GGGATTGATGGATTTGGTGTTTTGAGAATTGTTTGAGGATATTAACTCTAGTTATTATGTATTGAATTGTTTTGGGTGTTTTAATTATTGCATATATATTCACATGTTCATGTAATCGAAAGAGGCATAACTTGTGATGTTTTTGCATTATCTTGTTGGTTAAATTTATTGATTCTTCTTAGTAATCGAAAGAGGCTAGTGGAATTATTGTTTAGACCTAGTTAGGAGGATAATCAAAAGAGGGTAGTTGAATTATTGTTTAGACCTAGTTAGGAGGATAATCGAAAGAGGTTCTCCTAAAGACCAATACACTACGAATTCCTGCATATCTTCACCGAGCATAACTTAATTCATCTTGTGAGGTTGAGACTTAATCGAGAGGGGAGTTTCTACTGAATATTCGAACTAATAATAGATTGAATTCGAGAGACTCACTTGAACCTTAAAAGTGAATTAACTAGAGTTAAATCCCAGATAAGTATCTTGCACCTATCCAATCAACCCCTATTTTTTCTCATTGATATCTTTCTTGCTTACTTTTGTTCGAGTGTCATTCGTCAATAAGTTAGACTCTTAGTTAATTGTAGATTTTAATCACATAATTCTCAATTGTTGATCATCCTTGATAGAAATCAAGTTATAAACTATGAAAATACTGTTTAACTCCAATCCATGTGGATAGGATATTATATTATACTATATTCGACTAGCGAGCATATTTAAGTGTGTGTTTTGCGCTCGTCAGTATGCTAGATTCTTGAATATGTCCGGGTAGACTTAGGCTCACACCATGTTCTAATTGTACTATTTGAGTTATTCTTGCATGTTTAAATGCCTTAATTATTATTTTAGCCTGAGACTAGACTTGCATAGAGTATCGAACTTTGCTATTTTAGATATTTGACGAGCTGCTTGATTAGTTGTAAAAATTATACCTTCTTTTGCGAATTTTTTCCGCGTTGTGCGTATTTGTCCAAAATGTTTTTGAAAACAGAACTCATAGATATATTCGTGAGTGGGGCCAGTGACCTGTCAAAGTTTTACTATTCCTATGAGATCGGGCTGAATGCCTCAGCACTACCATTATGGGATCGGGCCGCTCGCCTCGGCAGTATTATGAGATGCATCTATGGATCGGACCATACGACCTCGGCAGTGTACATTATTATCATGGGATCGGGTCGTACGACCTCGGCAATATACACTATTATTATGGGATCGTGTCATACGACCACGGCAGGATATCGCGCCATCATTCTTATGGGATCGGGCCGTTCGCCTCAACAGAATCGTGCGTAATATTCGATAAGGAATCAACATACCTATGAGTCTTGCTGACTTGAGACGTGACATTTTATTGGCCATTGATCATATATATATTCCATTCGAGGTAGTATTCGGTAATTGGAAATTTGTATTTACTCTTCTGTTGTGGAATGTTTTATGCACATATATCTGTTTTTACTGCTTTATTTGTCATGCTTCATACATGTCTACTTTTATTGTACTTTGATTATTAGACCACTAGTAAGTGTTGATGTCTACCCCTCATCACTACTTCTTCGAGGTTAGGCTAGATACTTACTAGGTACGCATTGATTCACGTACTCATACTATACTTTTGTACTAATTATGCAGGTACTGAGATAAGTACATTCGGTTGGTAATCTAAGCGTGTAGGTATAGCTGCTGAGGAGACTTTTTGGTGAGCTACATTTAATGTTATGATCCGCAGCACACAGAGTCCCCTTCTTATTCGTTTACTATATTATGTCTATTTTCTATTCCAGACAGTGGTTGTAGCAGTATTATATATTCTAGTCGATACTAGTGCACTTATGACACCGATTTTTGGGGATTTAGATTCTTGTTCTTGGTTGTATTCTGTTGTGATATCTGAATTTATATCTTGATCACGTTCATACATTTAAAATAATATCAGTATTTTACTATGAAAATGAAAGTTTTCGGTTTTTTATTTCATTATTTGTTTCGAGACGCGTTTTGAATTATTTATCGTCGTATTGATTTTAATTGTTGGCTTATCTAACGACAGTATTGGCGGCCATCACGGTCTATGGTGGGAATTGGGTCATGACAATTTAGTATAAACCCCACCTAATTGATAAATATGAAGTGATGATTTACAACTCATGATTTCAAAATAATAAAAATTGCAATGTGAAAATATTTATAAGAGAAATAAAATAATTAATGAAAAAGTGAGTAAGATCGTTAATGTCAAAAATCCTAAAATTCCTATATCAGTTGGACTAGATATATAAACATAAGTTACAAATAAGAAAGAATAGGAAATACTCATATATATACTCCCCTCGAATTTTAAGAAAAAATAATTTGTTATCTAAAAAACTTAATTTATGGGATCATAGTATTTATGTGAATATAAAAATTTCTCATTAAAGATAAAATAATTAAAATAAAAAATTTAAAGTTATATGTAATTCATTTTGGAATGGACTAAGGAAAAGTATTTGGTCCTTTTCGATTTGGTGCCTACAATAAATGTGTGTTGACTAAAGAATTGCTTTGTTATTATTATTTTGCTTTTTGTATGGCTTCAGACTTATTTTTAATAATTTTTGCATACCAAAAAAGAATTTTTTGTAAATTTCAGGAGTTTTTTTTATCACCGCACAAAGCGCGGTCAAATTTACTAGTATAGTTATAAAGCCATTACAATAGATTGAGGTGGCCCAAAAGTTACAATCCTGTTTTAATTCTTTTACGCTAAAATTAAAACTTTTTTGTACAATTAATCATAGTTAATTAGTATTTACTCTAACATTAATTTATCAATTAATCATGATATATTCATATAATATGATATAAATATCTGAATGTGAGTTGTTTTCCTTCTCCTACTTCCTTCTTTCCTCACTCAATCCCTCTTTTTTTCGTTCTCTTCTGAATATAAATTTTCTCAATTTTTGAGAGATTTCCATTCCTCCAAAAAGAAATCTCCATCCCACCACCCCAAATTCCTAGTTTTATCTTCTAAATATGCATTAATTCTCTCAATCTTTGGAAAACAACTTTAGTCATTGCTTATACAAACTAAATGAGCAAATTACTAACATTAAAATATTTGTTTGTTAACTATGAGATAGCAAGTTATATATACACATATATGTTTGAGCAAACCCCGTTAATGTCTGTTTCCTTCAATATTCTTTTCGTTTCCACGAATGTACAACTCTGAAAGCATTCATGTACACATATAGACACACACTTTGCCCCTTTGAAATGGTAGATACTCACTCGTATCGCATCGTATGTTTAAACCAACTCAATAATTATATGACACATATCTTCACAAATATGGTGATCATAAAATCATAGTTAATTAATACATATTCTTTTTTTAATTTATCACTTAACTAAGGTAAATTAGTATGATTTGGTGTCAATTGTTGTTGGCGAGGACGAATCTAGCCTTAAGCTACAAAGTAAAATTCATAGGATTTGCTAGTACATTAGATTATCTGAGTGGTAAGAAGAGGAACACCAACTTTAGTTAAATGTCTTCAGTACAATATATAAAGCTACCTTGCCACTATATCAACATGATTTTTCGGAAGGTAATAGGTATATGTGAAATCCCTTGCGCCCCTTTTTTTAAACTTCAAACTAATATGAATTTAAGTTCTTTTTATTTTTTGCGTCCATATAATCTTAGCGCATAATTGTGTTTTCTCGAATATTTTCTACATTCAAATTAGATTCGTTATACCAATAAAGCTATTTGATAAATTAAATTGTAATGCAACTTTAATCTGTGAGCCAAATTTTGCTGGAATGGTCGCCTTAACCATAAATTCACAGGAAGAGTAGGAAAGAACGTACTAATACATAGGGGGTTTATAATCATATCCATATATGTCAATTAAGGAAGATATATTGTGATATATCACTTCTTCCAACACAACTGTCAATTTTTCAATTACACACCCACAACAAAAAACTTATTCACATAATTCTAAACTAAATACACCAATAATCACCAAATATAATATTTAAAAAAACTTATATATTTTTCCACGTAATCATGATAAATTTTTATGATTTGGGGTAAACACACAATAAACTACTAAATATTATTTTAATATTTATTTTCTTAAATACACATTATTTTTTTTAGATACACATACTTTGAAGTGAAATATAATATAAGTCTAACTGTTGTGAGACATACTTAAATGAGCATGCAAATTGAGATTGAGTAGAAGAATGAAGAGGATCAATCAAACACACGGGAAGTGGAAAAGGTTAGTTTTTAGGGATGTACTTTCTAGTAGATAATATTAAGAGATGGGCACGTAATGTTTGATTTTTGAGTGCTCACCAAATGTTATAATTTTCAACGTCTCCTTTATAGAAGTTTCTTTTCCCCTCCCCCGTCTAAAATCCATGCGTAATTATCTTTTCTATTTTCGTTCATCTTCTTGCTTTCTTTCCTTTTCCTTTTGGTTCTCTCTTTCTTTTTATAAAATCGAAAACTATAGTAAAAACTAAAGAAAGAGTACTATCGATAAATAAGAAATGAACTAAGCACCTAATCAGCAGGAAATTTTGGAAGGAAGCGATAATTACTCTAACCCTTCTCCCTAACCTCCCCTTGGTCAAAAGAGGGGGGGGGGGGAGTAGAGTTTTAAAATAATTTAAAAATAAGATTCAAACACTCAAAAATTGCACACTTAAGAGTGATAAATGGTCTCTATATAAAGAAACGACCATAGCAAGTTCATAGCACTAAGACACTATACAAATTTATTTCTTTTTTCTTTCTCTAATGGCTGCCTTTACCAAACATTTCTCCTTCATCTTCCTCCTTACCCTCATTTCTTCATTGCAAATCCATGCAAGAGAAAGCCATTTTTTTAATAAAATCCCAAGCAACAACCATACTGAAAAAAAGACACAAGTAGTTATTCCCAACAAAAAACAAGAATCAATTTTTTTGCAAAAAAATGAAAATAATGGTTACGGCCTATATGGTTATGAGTCTGGTCAACTTCCTCCTTCCTCCTTCCACCATCACTACTAATAATGTAGAAAACTCCTACAAAGAAATCAATTCCGCCACCACCCTAACTAATAATATTTACAATAGCAAATACCTTCCCAAGAATTACAACCCTGTGGCTCATGTCACTGTCCCAAAGAATGACGACGACAACAATAACGATGGAGAGTACAAGAATACTGGTAGTACTAATAACAAAAATAACAATAACGGGGAGTACTACAATGATGACAGTACTAACAGCAAAAACTATAATGGGGAGTACTATAATGGTGGTAGTACTAACAATAAAAATAACAAAATGGAATACTACAATGGTGGTAATGGTAACAACAACAACAATGAGGAGTATTGTAATAGTGATAGTACTAGCAACAACAACAACGACGATAATGATGAGGAGTACAAGAATAGTGGCAATACTAACAACGAAAACAATGACAAAAAACAATACTACAATGATGACAATCCTAACAACAACAACAAAGAGTACCACAATAGTGGCATTACTAACAAAGAGTACTACAATGGTTGTAGTACTAACAACAATAACAATGAGGAATACTTCAATGGTGGCAGTACTAACAATAACAACAATAACAATGAGAAGTACTTCAATGGTGGCAATACTAATAACAACAACAACTACAACTACTACAACAACGACAAAGAGGAGTATCACAATGGGGGTAGCACTTACTACTACTATAACAACAACAATAACGAGGAGGAGTACTTCAATGGTGGCAGTACTAACAACAACAACAATAACGAGGAGGAGTACTTCAATGGTGGCAGTACTAACAACAATAATAACAACAACGAGGGGTACTTCAATGGTTGCAGTACTAACAACAACAACAACAATAACAACGAGGAGTATTACAATAGGGGTAGCACTTACTATAACAACAACAACAATAACAACGAGGAGTATCACAATGGAGGTAGCACTTACTACAATAACAACGAGGGGTACTTCAATGGTGGCAGTACTAACAATAACAACGAGGAGTATTACAATAGGGGTAGCACTTACTATAACAACAACAACAATAACAACGAGGAGTATCACAATGGAGGTAGCATGCACTTACTACAACAACAATAACAAAGAGGGTAGCACTTACTATAACAACAATAACGAGGAGTATCACAATGGAGGTAGCACTTACTACAACAACAATAACAACAAAGAGTATCACAACGGGGGTAGCACTTACTACAACAACAACAACAACAAGGAGTAATACAATGGTGACAGTACTAACAACTACAACAACAACAACAACAATAAAGAGTACTACAATGATGACAGTACATAAATCACTAAATACAACCTTAATAAAAGTCATCATAGATATTATTTAAATAATGCGTCTGAACTATTAAAGAAAATTAAAGAAAAAAATTTGAGTTCTTGGAAAAGATGAATTATTATCGATCCTATTTATCTAAATCCTAAAAAATGAGTGTTATCACATTGATGTAGTAGTTGAATGTAATTGAATATCTTTTGGAATAAATTTTCTTATGAGTTTTCATATTATGATATGAAATTTTCCCCAACTTCTTTTTTTTAGGAATTTACAAATAAAGTACGTTCCGAGCTAATGAATATAATTAGTTTTTTTTATTAGTATTGAACGTTCAATTAAGAATAAAGATAACACACCTTAATAGTCTGATCAGATCAAGGCATTTGGATTTTAGCAATGTCTATATCTGAAAAATAATACTACAGGATTATCAATGATTAACAACTCCCAAAATCCCTTCAGCTAATAGAAGGGTCAAGGCGTACAGGTACAAACTAGAGATATCTTTCGGGGTAGCTTTATCTGCCTTCTCCTTATTCTGTAACTTTTTTTTTCTCAAGCCTTTCAAATTCTTTCTTTAAATATCCTCCAGTATTCCCCAATACAATCAGCTTCTGAAGATAATTGTGCATACGATCAATTAAGAATCCAAGAAACAGAGAAAACCCCATGAGAGTGGCCTCTAGCAAGTTGGTTCTCCAAAACTAACATAATTAGTTTACATAGTAATATAGCCTGTAAAATACTTGCAAATTATTTTGAAAGCCCAAGATATCTAATTGAAATCCTACACTTCTTCTATTTTTCGTTTACATGTGTTCGGCAAATGATAAAGACACAGCATGATGACAATAATTATCAATTGATCGAACATAAACCACAGTGTGAAATTCACAACATGGCACACTTCTCATATCCAATGTTTTAAAAGGCATTTTTTGTCTTGGGCGAAGCATATTAAAAATACACTGAAGTGTACTTGTGGGAAGTAAGTATCGTACACCCCAACCTTCTGGGTGTTCGCTTAGGCGCAAGCCCCAATATTCTGGATGTTCATTTGGAGCGTACACAACAAATTTTTTTCCAAATTTGAGGCTATATTGCTAAATAAATTCTTTTTTGAAACTTAAATATCCAAAAGTCTAACTCATAATAAATTCTCAAACTAAAAATCTCAAAAGTTAACATTTTTTTATATCTTTATCCTAATTTCGTAATTTTTTTCTCTTTGTCATTTACCGAGTAACAAATACACTTTAGACCTTTGTCTTTAAAATAAAAAATACAAAAACAAATTCCTTTAACACTCACTCTCTTCCACGTTTGCATTTTTCTTCTTTATGCTTAATTTCCTTTTAAGTTTTTTTTTTTCTTGTATTCTTTAATTTTCTTTTCAAGTTAATTTTTGATGTAAGAATTTCTTTTGGTATCGCTCTAGTTATGAGTAATTTGAAACACTACAAACTCGAGTATTGTTACAGTCATTTTTTTGAGGGGGGTAAGGGATTCGTCTCTTACCGCCAGTTTTGATTAAGGCAGAATTTGGACAAAATAACAGCTAGANGAAGGAAAGGTAATATCGTTGACCTCTATGTTAGAGTAAGTGAGCGAGTTATAAATAATGTGTGGTGTTTTAGAGTCAAATCTTGAGGCGAGGATGTTACGTAAGAGTGCTTAGTCTATTTTAAATATTCTTGGTATGATGAGTTATGATAATTGTTTTAAAAAGTCGTGTCATTATAAAGTGTAGTTTGATTGCTCGAGGACGAGTAATGGTTTAAGTATAGGGTGTTGATGGTAGGATATAATTGTGTATTTTAGTTACTTATTGCACTCTAGTTTAATGCACTTTAATTGAGTTTGAACCTTAATTGCTAGTGTTTTACACTAATTATATGTTAATGCCTTGTAGGAGTGATTCCGAGCTATATAGATGTTATGGGATGAATTCACGCTATTTTAGAGCTTTGAAGTCTGAGTAAAAGCCCAAGGACTAAGTTGGAATCAAGTTCGAGGATCAACGGACACTAGTGCATTCAAAAAGAGAAACAAAGAATCGAGCCGGACATCACCCAGGTGCGCGATCGCGCACTGGGCGTGCATGGGAGGCAGAACACTACGCAAAGTGCACGGCCTAATGCGCGAGCACCATCCCAGGTGTGCGGCCGCGCACGTCTTGTCCGGGAAAAGTCCTATTTTGTGAAGGAGAAGGTGTGTTTGTTTGGGCCCGACCCTACTTGGTATATATACATGGAAAAATATTATTTTTGGGACTTTTGACACATCTAAGACCTAAGGAGGCTAAGGAGAAGGGGGAGAATCAAGAGCACAAGGATTTCATGATTCAATCCTCACTTAAGACAAGAGTTTGGATCGTTTATGCTTTCCTTTAACTTAAACTTATTTGTAATGAATTACTCCATATCTATGGAGTAGTTCTCTTTAGGGATTGATGGATTTTGTGTTTTGAGAATTGTTTGTGGATATTAACTCTAGTTATTAAGTATTGAATTATTTTGGGTGTTTTAATTATTGCATATATATTCACATGTTCATGTAATCGAAAGAGGCATAACTTGTGATGTTTTTGCATTATCTTGTTGGTTAAATTCATTGATTCTTCTTAGTAATCGAAATAGGCTAGTTAAATTATTGTTTAGACCTAGTTAGGAGGATAATAGAAAGAGGTTAGTTGAATTATTGTTTAGACCTAGTTAGGAGGATAATCGAAAGAGGTTCTCCTAAAGACTAATCCACTACGAATTCCTATATATCTTCACCGAGCGTAACTTAATTCATCTTATGAGGTTGAGACTTAATCGAGAGAGGAGTTTCTACTGAATATTCAAACTAATAATAGAGTAAATTCGAGAGACTCACTTGAACCTTAAAAGTGAATTAACTAGAGTTAAATCCCAGACAAGTATCTTGCACCTATCCAATCAACCCCTATTTTCTCCTATTGATATCTTTCTTGCTTACTTTTGTTCGAGTGTCATTCGTCAATAAGTTAGACTCTTAGTTAATTGTAGATTCTAATCACATAATTCTCAATTGTTGATCATCCTGGATAGCAACCAAGTAATAAACTACGAAAATACTGTTTAAATCCAATCCATGTGGTACGATATTATATTATACTATATTTGACTAGCGAGCATATTTAAGTGTGTGTTTTGCGCTCGTCGGTATGCTAGATTCTTGATTATGTTCGAGTAGACTTAGGCTCACACCATGTTCTAATTATATTATTTGAGTTATTCTTGCATGTTTAAATATCTTAATTATTATTTTAGCCTGAGACTAGACTTGCATAGAGTATCAAACTTTTCTATTTTAGATATTTGACAAGCTACTTGATTAGTTGTGAAAATTATACCTTCTTTTATAAAAAATTTCTGCGTTGTGCGTATTTATCCAAAAAAAATTTGAAAACAAAACTCATACATATATTCGTGAGTGGGGCCAGTGACCTGTCAAAGTTCTACTATTCCTATGAGATCGGGTTGAATGCCTCAACACTACCATTATGGGATCAGGCCGCTTGCTTCGGCAGTATTATGAGATGCATCTATGGATCGGACTATACGACCTCGGCAGTGTACATTATTATCATGGGATCGGGTCGTACGATCTCGGAAATATACACTATTATTATGGGATCGCGTCATACGACCACGGCAGGATATCGCGCCATCATTCTTATGGGATCGGGTCGTTCACCTCAACAGAATCTTGCGTAATATTCGATAAGGAATCAACGTACCTATGAGTCTTCCTGACTTGAGACGTGACATTTTATTGGCTATTGATCTTATATATATTCCATTCGAGGTAGTATTCGGTAATTGGGAATTTGTATTTACTCTTCTGTCGTGGAATGTGTTAGGCACATATATCTGTTTTTACTGCTTTATTTGTCATGTTTCATACATGTCTACTTTTATTGTACTTTGATTATTGGACCACTAATAAGTGTTGATGTCGACCCTTCATCACTACTTCTTCGAGGTTAGGCTAGATACTTACTAGGTACGTATTGATTCATGTACTCATACTATATTTTTGTACTAATTATGCAGGTATTAAGACAAGTACATTCGGTTGGTAATCTAAGCGCGTAGGTATAGCTGCTGAGGAGACTTTTTGGTGTGTTGCATTTAATGTTATGATCCGCAGCACACGGAGTCCCCTTCTTATTCATTTACTATATTATGTCTATTTTCTATTCCAGATAGTGGTTGTAGCAGTATTATATATTCTAGTCGATGCTAGTGCACCTGTGACACCGAGTTTTGGGGGTTTAGATTCTTATTCTCGGTTGTATTCTGTTGTGATATCTGAATTTATATCTTGATCACGTTCATACATTTAAAATAATATCAGTATTTTACTATGAAAATGAACATTTTCGGTTTTTTATTTCATTATTTGTTTCGAGACGCGTTTTGAATTATTTATCGGCGTATTGATTTTAATTGTTGGCTTATCTAACGGCAGTATTGGCGGCCATCACGGTCTATGATGGGAATTGGGTCGTGACAATTTAATATAAACCCCACCTAATTGATAAATGTGAAGTGATGATTTACAACTCATGATTTCAAAATAATAAAAATTGCAATGTGAAAATATTTATAAGAGAAATAAAATAATTAATGAAAAAGTGAGTAAGATCGTTAATGTCAAAAATCCTAAAATTCCTATTTCAGTTGGACTAGATACATAAACATAAGTTACAAATAAGAAAGAATAGGAAATACTCATATATGCTCCCCTCGAATTTTAAGAAAAAATAAATTTTTTTCAAATTGTGATCTTAAAAGCTTAATTTGTGGGATCATAGTATTTATGTGAATATAAAAATTTCTCATTAAGGATAAAATAATTAAAATAAAAAATTTAAAGTTATATGTAATTCATTTTGGAATAGACTCATAATAAGGAAAAGTATTTGGTCCTTTTCGATTTGGTTCCTACAATAAATGTGTGTTGACTAAAGAATTGCTTTGTTATTATTATTTTCCTTTTTGTATGGCTTCAGACTTATTTTTAATAATTTTTGCATATCAAAAAAGTCAACTAATGCTAAATAAATTCTTTTTTGAAACTTAAATATCCAAAAGTCAACTCATAATAAATTCTGAAACTAAAAATCTCAAAAGTTAACATTTTTTTATATCTTTATCCTAATTTCGTAATTTTTTTCTCTTTGTCGTTTACCGAGTAACAAATACACTTTAGACCTTTGTCTGCAAAATAAAAAATACAAAAACAAATTCCTTTAACACTCACTCTCTTCCACGTTTGCATTTTTCTTCTTTATGCTTAATTTCCTTTTAAATTTTTTTTTTTCTTGTATTCTTTAATTTTCTTTTCAAGTTAATTTTTGATGTTAGAATTTCTTTTGGTATTGCTCTAGTTATGAGTAATTTGAAACACTACAAACTCAAGCCTACCCTACCCGAAAAAAAGTTTCAAAGTATTGTTACAGTCATTTTTTTGAGGGGGATAAGGGATTCGTCTCTTACCGCCAGTTTTGATTAAGGCAGAATTTGGACAAAATAACAGCTAGAGAGCATAAAAACAACATTGAAGAACAATATCCGTTTTCCATTTTTTGGGGGGGTGTGTGCAAAAGTAAAGGGTTATTTAAGTTGAGCACGGAGTGATCGCTTTTAATAAAGCTAGACAAAATGATACTTTAGGGTACACTGAGGGATCAACTTCATCAATGACACCATCAGAAATACATAGGAAAGAAGGTAAAAATAAGAGAGTGAGAAGCAAGGATTGCAAAAAAACGTTTTGAAGTACATTTCAATTGTGTAAGCACAAGGCGAGAGCAGGTCTTACAACTCTTTTATAGTAACACACTCCTCCGAGCAATCTACATCTGGAAATAAAACTAAGTACGCCGCTTCCTATCATCATCATCCTCTTCATCAGAATTACCACTCTCACGGAAACGTGGATTCTTCTCCTGCAGCAAAAGAAAATGTCACATTGCAACAACAAATATCACTAAAACCGAAGAGGGGACAAACAATAGAGGCAAAAGATTTGAAGCTCAACCTCTTATTCGTTAAATCACAAGCTAAAATCAGGGAACTTGCTTCTTTAATATCCACAAAGACTTTGTTTCATTGTCCAATTTTACATTATTTCAGTTTCAGTGGCGAGCACAGAGTACATATGAAAAGATGGAACAGGACATGCTGGTGAAAAAAAAGCAAAGCAATAAAAGATGTAGCTTAGGTATAAAAGAAAATACCGGTCTGGACTCATGATCAGAGGTTCTTCGAGATTCACGGTCGTAACTCCTCTTTGGATAATCTGACCGATGGTGGTCATCTTCCCTGTGTCGCTTGCGATGATAGTCTGTTTTCCTCATAAGACAGAGTTGTTTGTTAAGTCTACTATACTGAAACAAAAGATAGAAAAATACAATGATGTAGAGCATTAGAACTGAATCAAAAGCTTTGAAAAGCATACCTCTACCGTGTCGATAAGAACCTCCATGGCCTTGATTTACACCATGCCTACCATCTGCAGTTTTTATTGTATCAGTAATCGCCAGACACAGTAAAAAGTCTACAAGAGTACCATTTTTATTATCTATCATATTGTATTGCAAAACCTAAGGCATAACCAAGTTTGAGCATGGCATATAAACTGTGATGCTGTGAAGTTATTGAAAGTGCAAGAAAAATTCAATGGAGCTTGAAGGTCCGGTGGATCAGCTATTCAAAGCTTGATTTGAAATACTAAAGGGGTTGTTTCAATCTTTGCCTTTCACTTTTCCTCGTTAGAGAAATCTCAAGTTAAATCTGATTTTCAATAGATTAATGAAACACAGCACGAATTTGGAAAAAGCCAGTTTAATTATAGGGAAGAATACGGCTAGCTCAAAATTTAGAACTGGAACAAAACCAAAATCATTAACAACCAGAAGTTGCCATGCAACCAGTGCTCAAACTTATACAATTCTTCTAGTCGTACTCATTTCATTCGCAATGGAGCATTCAGAATGTAGACATTATGCTTACAGCATTAGTTGATATCAAAACTATCATTCCTGTGACAGCTTAACTATAACCCAACCCATTATATAAAAGGCATATATACTCGAACTAGTGTGGTGTCATGCAACAAATTGACAAGTTGTGGAATCAACATTGAAACAAGCAGATAATAACAACTCAGAAGAACTTCACCACCAAACCAACTATTCCCTCCGTCTCAAATTATCTGTCATGATTCTCTTGTACACGTCCCTTAAGAAAAATTAATTAGGATGGAATTTTGACTACTTTACCCTTGTTCATGTCTTAATATTTAATCTTTCTTCATTGGTATTTGAACAAAGTTATCCATAATTGAGGTGTTTGTAGTCTTCAAGTATAATTATTACTAAGGGTAAGAAAGGAAAAAAATAATTAATTTTGTCTTGAACTTCTAAAATGACAAATAATTTGAGACAACTATTTTTAGTAACCACGACTGATAATATGAGACGGAGGGAGTACTAAAACACTAGCATTACTTAGAGCCAGTTGTACCCCCAGCTAAAATCAAAAGCTTTCTACTGCATTAAAGCACACACAAGTCCTGTAGAAGTAAATCTAAATCTGCAGATAAGAGGCGCTTCAAGTTGACTCTTCAATCAAATGCAATAACATTTTCCTTTTTGGAAAAGGAATAGAAAGAAGACGAAAATATTGCAGTCTTTACATTTCATATTCCACATATTATCAAATTAATTTGAGAGAACGAAGCTCTTTGCTAAGAAGCAAGAAAGAATATTATGAAAGAAAGAACTGATGACTAAGTTCAGAGCCCTCAAACTTACAGTGAGGTGGCGGCATAACTGGTGGGTAAGCGCCCAATGATCCTGTACCATAATCCACTAGCTGCCTTTGTGCTTCCAACTCCTTTTGGACCAATTTTCCATAACCACCTCGACGTATAACTAGTTAAGGTATTCGAAGACAGCTCAAAATTCTTAAATATTAAATGGAGAAAGAAAGGAAAAAATGATGTCTTAAACACTGTAGCTCGGACTATCATACAAGAGTTTCAACCATTCGTCAGATAAGGTGATGAAAACTTACTCAATTGATTAACCATAAAGTATAACACATTTCTGTGTACATTCATGGATTAAGCGTTAAGTCTTTTGTTTGAATTAAACCATAATTCTTAAAACACACTCCCTCTGTCTCAATTTATGTGATGGTGTTTGACTGGGCATGAAGTTTAAGAAAAGAAGAAAGATTTTTGAAACTTAGTGGTAATAAATGAGGCATAGATATTTGTATGCCATAATTCATCTCAATAAGGGTAAAATGGGTATTATAATGTTAAATTGTCACTAAATATAGAAAGGTATCATTCTTATTGGGACCGACTAAAAAGGAAAGAGTGTCACATAAATTAGGACTGAGGGGGTATATATTAGAAAACCATGTAAACACTGTCAACCATCTTTCCTATCCTTGATTAATGACAGAAGAATAGTCATTTACACTAATGACACAAGAATAAATGAAGATCTACTTCGAGGTACTTCCTTGTAACATAAATAACGAAGAAAACCATTGCCTTGTTAAAACTTTGCAATCATCCCACTGGCGACAAGATGAAATTTCCATTTCTTTCGTCAAGTCAATTATCCTACAACCACAGGAGAAGGATGCAGAAAAATGAAGCGTTTGAGACACGTTTGAGACCACTAGGTTCATTCACCCAAAGCAAAATGCAATTACGAAAAATCAGGGTGACTAAGTACTTGAGAAAAAATGCTCTAGAATCTTATGATCACAAGAGGAAAGAAGCTTTTGTTTTAACCACTATCTTATCTAGTAACTAGATGTGGAGGGTTGTGTTCTTTTAGATGGTGACACAGAACCTGAAAAAGACAATAGAATCTGATCCACCAGACTTTTGATGCCCCACAGCCTATGTTGCGCGAACTTTCCAAAATGTTGATGCACTACTTTTGGAGGATCCGACACGCACCCGACAACATTTTTGGAGAGTCCGAGCAACATAGCCCACAGCTACTTCTAGGGTAAGTACTTACTGAATAAATACTATATAAATACTTCTTTAGGAGGCACTTGAGTGACCTATGATGTTGCATCAACAAAGAATAACCAGTACAATGATTTACACAAATACACATATTATCTTGTCAAGTACCACTTGAGTTATCCTTACCATATATACAAGTTATACACATATGTACATAACAATTTTTAAAATAAGTACATGTCTACATAATAATAAAATGTTTAAATCCATTAAATTACATCCTTTTTCTCAATTTACTTACTGAGTAAATACTCCAAGTTTACTAACTGGCATAAATCTTTCAAGCTGAAAATATTCCAAGTTTTAACGGATTCTTTTTTTTTAATCAAAAGTATACCAAGTTTTAGTAGATTTTTACACACTTCCCTACTTTTTTACTGATCACTGTACATAACATTTGTGGAAACTTCACTATTAGATATCCTTCTGCATAACACGAAGTATAGTTGACTAACTTTGTCCTAATAGTTGCATGCCTTTTTATTCCCAATCCAGTGTCCATTCAGTTGCAATGTTCATCACTTTAGGCCATGATAGGACCAAAACATATTTTCTCTGGAAAAAAAATATAAAAATAGTTAAAAGAATGGAAAGAAAGTTGTTAATCCATGCTTATCAACTGAAGAGAAGGATATCTGGATCGTAGTCAGTACGATATTCATCGCGCACCTGGAAAAAAGATGTAAATCAGATCACATGCTAGCATGAATCTCAAGATAAAAGGATGAACCACTAAGGAGATTACCTGTCCACCACTCCTACCACGGCCCCATTGCCTACCTTCTTGAAATCCCCAGTCAAAATCCACACGGATAGGGCGATCATCAAGAATTGTGCCACTGATATATTTGGCAGAATCTTCAGTATCGTCCCTAGAGTAGAACCTGAAAATAGTTTTACAGTTATTACAGATGCAAATGATATTCTCCTTGCCTTCTTTTATTTTTTTCTTTGGCCTCTTTCCCTTGAATGCGAAAGGGTTGAATGGGGGATAAACCTAAAGGTATACAAGTAAAACTATAATGTACACCTAATACCATCTTGGTGTTTATAAATAGAATTTACTTCAACCATCAAAAGAAGTTATGAGCAAATAGGTTTTTGCTTATAACTGCAGAAACAATGACAGCACTGAAGAGACAAAAGCTCGTGATACACTCCTTTCATTCCTAATGGCAATTTATTACTCTGGCATAAATATATACTACTTATTTATCTGACATCATTTCAACAATTTCTCTCCTTTTTGCAGTTAAATATTATTTGAACTCCTTGCCCTCAAACCTAATATAATAATTCATTCAAATATTTGTTCTTAAACTTTGTCAATGTCAACCCAAGTCAATTAAAATGGCACAAAGGGAGTACGTCAGCAACAGTCCTACTCACAAAAGAAATGCAGACCAAATGTGGCAAAATTTGACATACTTGGAACAGGGCAACAAGATAGAATGCAAAGAAGCAGATTTACTTTCCTAATACAAATCCACCAACCACCCACTACCTACCACCCAGGCATCCCAAAGAAATACAACCTAAACAAACACCATAACCTATGAAAGTTTCTTGAAATATTGGAAAAAATGGTCTGCAAGTCATCAAAGAAATATTATGGCAGGAAGTTGCAAATACATAAATAGTACATTGGGTTTTTAAAGCAAGAACTGGGATCTACTTTTACGTTATGCTAATTTGGTTTCGTTTTTGTAAGGAATCTATTAATCTTTCTCTAACTTTCAGGCTAGAAACTCTCTTCTTTCCTCATTAATGATATCATTAAGAAGGTAACAAATGAGCGACAACTGAGTGGAACAAGAGATAACATAAAAGACGGCACAGCCAAAATACTCCAACTTTTTGTTGTGAGACCTGAAGACAAAGTAAACCAACCCTGGACTTGAAAAAAGGAAGAAAAGGATTAAGAAAAAAATAGGAGGGAAATTTTCCTTTTCTTTTCTACCAAATAGGAGCCAGGTTTCCTTTTCAGTTAAAAGTAGCAGAAACATGAAGAACTAAGACCCCATTTTACTAGACTTTTTGTAATATCAATAAGGATTTGAGGATTATGAACAAAATAGCTACATATTCTTTTTATTGGTAACAAAATAGCTACATATCTGGGGATTAGTGTCAAATAACAGTCGCACGTTTCATTTTTCTCCAAATAGATGCAATAGAAATAATAAATACTTTCCTCCCTTCTTCTCTCTTTTCTTTTCTCCTGCATATCCCTTCCCTGTCTAGGACTCTTTAAATTCAAAAATTCCATGACAAAGTTTGACATTGATCGTTATGTCAAAATAAGATAGATCATTATTTCAATTTTTTGTAAGTCCCTGCTTTTTTGTACCTAGACTTCTAAAAGATTTAATACTTTTTCATTTTTGATGAAAAGTTGAACATTTCCATTTTCTCATTCAGGTTTCCATCTTTTTGGCTTTTTTCCTTTTAAGATATCCTAGGTCTTTCTTCAAAAGATCCAAATACTCATATCTGACTTCACTAGAAATCTGCCTAATACCTTCTCTACTCTCAATAGCAAACTTCATGCTTATCCAACTGTATTAACCAAAGACTTGACAAGGTCACCATATGATAATCTTGCCTCCCGTCCTTTTGTTTCATATGCCCTAAGAACATCAGACATTAAAATTATACAGCTCAATGCAATGTGCTCTTCCACTGCTACCGCTTCTTTTAAATTTAGCTTTTCCTCACACATCTAGCCCCATCGTTCACTCTCAAGCCACCTTCATATCATCCTATCTTAACACAAATTTAATAGCACCTCTCAGCTTGAACCCTGTAGGTTGAAATATCTACTCGTACAGTGCCTATGCACCAAAGGAACAACCGAAACTAGCTTTTTGCTTTCAAGTAAGAAAAAACAAAGTTCATCCACTATATTCAGCAGACAACAATCTTGCCTTATGCCTATGTCATTGGCCTTACTCCCAGTACGGGACCTACTCATTAGCAAGAGGAGTCAATTGACACCCCTTTGTCGAAAAATTACACGGCGGCATAGATAGATTAAATTGTTATTTTTATGAACGTATACTATATGTTAACTCCCCTTGATTTCTTCGCATGCTTACTTATTTATATTTTGACTCCCCTTAGTGAAAATTTTGGCTCCGCCACTGCTAACTCCAACACAGCCAACTTCGCACAAAAAAGAAAACCAAAAAAAATTATATTGACCCCTTGCCTCTACCAAGTATCTTGTCCTTTCTTGGAAAACCTAGGGGGTCTTTGACTGCACTTAATGGATGTCAGACTTAGTAAAATGACATATAATATGCTAATATAACTATAGAGAGCATGTCAAAGTACATTAAACACTACACTGAATCAGATCAAATGGCACCTTCGGGGACATTCGACTGAATCAGATCAAATTATTGTGGTATAAGCCTCTTTAATAATCTTCAGAATACTTACTAAGTTCCTTGTATTAATCCACAGGACAGTAAACGTGTCATCTAATTCTTAAGACAAGGGGAATAAGAGTTGATTGATACTTGTAGGAGTAGAGAGGAGAACATGATTCTTATATTCATCGGGTGGCGTGAACAAATGACAAATACATAATATCAATATCCATACTGATTAATTGGAGAAGAAATTATACGGTCAAAAGTTAGCAACACAAAATGAAAGAAATTGGAGAGTGAAAGCAAGGTTCAGGCCATACATTACAAAGCAGAAACCGCAAGGAGTTTTGGAATTCTTATCCAATCCCATAACTATCTTTTTAATCTCTCCAGCACGAGAGAACAGCTCATATACTTGCTCCTCTGTTGTGTAAAAGGACATGTTCCCCACATAAACAGTTGTCGCCTTTAGCAAAGCATCTTCAAATTCTTCTTGTGTTCCTGGAAACCTTCTATCCCTATATGCTGAAATCTTGGCTAAATCCTAAGAGAATGAAACAGCAGAGAAGGGGGAGCAGACCCACCCACCCCCGGCATTAGCACAATCCACCGAAAAAACAACTTAAGAACATTAAATCATTGGACAAATTGCTTATTGAACAAACATCCCGGGTATACAAAAGCCAAAGAACACTGGCGTTCATATTACCTTGAACAAAGAAGCCATTACGTTTTGCTCTAGGGTATCAAGAAGAAGAAGAAGAAGAAACAAAATGCGTGTTAATCAAAGCAAATAAGTTAAAGGGGTTAAATAACCACTTAGACCCCTTAAGTTTGAAAACTGACACTTCGATGCTCTTCTTAGTTCAAGGCACTACCTGTTTCCTTTTTTTTTCTTCCCTGCAGTACATTTAAAATTATTCGGTCAAAAATGGGTACACCTAGATTATGTGAATTCACTTGTTTTTCTTTTGTTCTGTTCGTCTCTCTTCATGTAATGGGTAGGCTAATTTATGCAAAACCAAGGAATGAACAACTAACTTTTTCAGTTAGAGAAATAAAAAATAGCTATTTTATTCTATTTCCATCACTTTTTTGATAACTTGAAAGGTAGAAAAATGTTTGATAAAGTAAAAAAAATGTCCAATCTGTTATAAATAGAATTGTATTCTAAGTCAATGTCTATCTTTTAGAGAGTTTATTACTTTATGGCTAAGTCATTTTTTCCCTATAAATAAAGAGGTTTTATCCCACTGTAAATTATCCCAAAATCAATAGAAGTATCTCTCTTTTCTTTGCAATATTCTTCTTTTCCTTTATTGTTTTATTATCAGCACGAAACTCTACCGTCTCAAGAAACTCTTTGAGAATACTAAGGTATAATTTTTCTCCTCTTTTAATTATGACTGATATTATGAAACGAAAGTTCATTGCCCTTGAAATTTCGGACAATAACTATATATCATGGGTGTTGAATGTTGAAATTCATTTGGATGCAATGGATCTTGGAGACGCCAATAGAGATAAAAGTAAAGCATTTACCCAAGACTGTGCTAAGGCCTTGATTTTCTTGCGCCATCAGCTTGATGAAGGGTTGAAAATAAAATATATCACAATCAAAGATCCACTTATTTTGTGAGATGGCTTAAAGGAAAGATATGGCAACTTAAAGTTTGTCATACTTCCACAAACACGATATGATTGGCTCATCTGAGGCTCCAAGACTTTAAACCTGTTTCTGAATATAATTCGGTGATGTTCAGAATTACTTCTAAATTGAAACTCTATGGAGATTAGGAGTGTGCATGGACCGGGTTGGTTCAGATTTTATCAAAACCAAACCAAACCAATTATATCAGTTTGGATTGGTTCGGTTTTGTCGGATTTTTCGTGTTTTTTTAGTTACATGAATATTATTTCAATCTTGCATTACTAAAGTTATAGATAAAATTTTAATAAGTGAATATATGTTTACTAAAAATTTAAAAAATATATATGATCTATTAAAGTGATCTTATGGGAGAATTGTTTTTAGTAACACATAATAGTTTATTTTCTTAGTCGTCTACCAATAATTTTTGGTTGATGTACGCTTTTAGGGTTAACCAAATTTAATAATTAAACATAAAAATCAATATGATACCTAAATAATGATATTTCTATGTAATTTTAAATTATCGAAATTCCACTTCAAATTCGAAAAACATATAATAAATCTTGACATATGAATATGAAAGAACAAAAAGATGATTGACGCATTTCAATAACACATAATAAGAAAGTGATACAATCTATTATTTAAAGTAAATAAAAATAAATGCACTTTATAGTTCTATTAAATATTATATCCCATGAGAGGATCTCAAATATTTCTAGATATCTTTTAAATAAAATTCTATA